GCTGCTGCAGCACATGTTTAGGGCTTTGCATGCGCCGCTGCTGTCAGTAACTATGAGCCGAAGTTGAGGGGGAGGAGAAATGGGGGAGAAGAGGCAGCAGTGTTATGCTGTAGCTAGCTATAGTTACAGTTGTAGCTAGCCAGATACTGCTGTGAATTCTAGCTAGCTAGCTAGCTAGCTAGCCAGCTAAATACTCAGCTAGCTAGCTAGCCAGCTAGCTAGCTAGCTAATCGGTTGTCTAGCTAGTCAGCTGGCTAGAGGGCTAGCTAGCCAGCTAGCTAGAGAGCTAGCTAGTCAGCTAGCTAGAGAGCTAGCTAGCTAGCTAGTTAGCTAGTTAGACACTCAGCTACCCAGACAGCTAGCTAGCTAGCTAGCTAGCCAGCTGACAGACGCTGGAGCAGATGCAACAGAAAAACGAAACCCAAGGGAGACAGAAGAAAAGGAGACAGTTAACACGAGAGGAGACAGCAGAGACAGAGACAGAGACAAAGACAGAGAGACAGAGACAGAGACAAAGACAAAGACAAATAAAACAAAATAAAAGAAAAAAGGAGACAGAAGAAAAGAGGAGACAGAAGAAAAGGAGACAGTTGATACAAGAGGAGACAACAGAGACAGAGAAAAAGAAAACAAAAGGGGAGAGACAGAAGAAAAGGAGACAGAGACAGAGACAGAGAGAGAGAGAAAGCACCAACGGACTGTCTCCTCTCTAGCTGTCTCCTCTTCTGCTGTCTCCTTTTTATTTGTCTCCCTCTCTCTATCTCTCTCTCTCTCTGTCTCCTCTCTCTGTCTCCTCTCTCTCTCTCTGTCTCCTCTCTCTCTCTCTGTCTCCTCTCTCTCTCTCTGTCTCCTCTGTCTCTCTCTGTCTCCTCTGTCTCTCTCTGTCTCCTCTGTGTCTCTCTGTCTCCTCTGTCTCTCTGTTTGTTTGTATATATACATATATATACACATAGATGCTTGACTGTGTTTAGTGTTTCTGTCTGTTGTCTTCACGTCTCTGTCTTTACTATTTTTTTGTTTTATTTATTTTTTTTTCTCTCTCTGTCTCTTTCTCTGTCTCTTTCTCTGTCTCTCTCTCTGTCTCTCTCTCTCTCTCTCTGTCTCTGTCTCTCTCTGTCTCTGTCTCTCTCTGTCTCTGTCTCTGTCTCTGTCTCTCTCTGTCTCTGTCTCTCTCTGTCTCTCTTTGTATCTTTGTTTTTAATAATATAATTTATTTTATTTTTTACATTGTCTCCTTTTCTGTCTCTTTCTGTCTCCTCTCGGTGTGGGGTGTCGGCGAGAGGAGACAGCAGAAGAGGAGACAGAAGGAGACAGAAAAGGAGACAGTATAAAAAATAAAATAAAAAAAGGAGACAGTGTAAAAAATAAAATAAAAAAAAAGGAGACAGGAGAAAGGAGACAGCTGCGGAGACACCGCGTCAACTGTCTCCTTTTTTTTGTCTCCTTTCTCTTTCTTCTGTTTGTGGTTTTGTTTCTGTTAGCTGCAGCAGATACACATCCATACACCCAGACAGCAGCAACTCTCCCCGGCTTCTTACACCTGCTGCTGCTCCCCTGCTGCTGCTGCTGCTGCTGCTGCTGCTGTTGCTGTTGTTGCTATTGTTGTTGTCCTCTGCAGCAATGCTGCTGCTGCTGCTGCTGCTGCTGCTGCTGCTGCTTTTTTCTTTTTCTATGGGGCAGTTTGCCTCCATTATAAATTCGCTTAGACCTCTCCCCTCCCCTGAACAAGTCTGCTGCTGCTCTTCCTTCTGCTGCTGCTGCTGCTGCTGCTGCTGCTGCAGCCGCTGCTGCTGCTGCTGCTGCTGCTGCTGCTGCGGGAGGTGCTGATGCAGCACTAGCATGTGTTCTAGCAGCGGCATGCAGTGCCTTTTGGGGCTGCCCCTGAGGAGTGGCCTCTGGCTGTGTGACAAACCAGCAGCAGCAGCAGCAGCAGCAGCAGCAGCAGCAGGTGCTGCAGCAGCAACAGAATTTGCAGCAGCAGCAGCAGGTGTTGCAGCAGCAGCAGCAGCAGCAGCAGCAGCAGGAGTATCCATTGTAGGGGAGGAGAAGTGAAAGCCGTCAAGCAAAGAGACATTCTGCAGGAAGGCCTCCCTCTGCCCTCTTGTGCTGCTGCTGCTGCTGCTGCTGCTGCTGTTGCTGCTGCTGCTGCTGCTGCTGCTGCTAGTGCTGCTGCTAATGCTAGAAGCCTCGCTGCCTGCAGCAGCAGCAGCTTCCTCAGAGATGCCCCACTCCGGCACTGCAAAGCCCCACCCCATATCTTGCTGCTGCTGCTGCTGCTGCTGCTGTTGCTGCTGCTGCTGCTGCTGCTGTAGCGGCTGATTGAAAGGCTCAGAAGCCTCCCAGGGTGAGTCTTCCTGCTGCTGCTGCTGCTGCTGCTGCTGC